AAAAAAATTGTTTTCAAGACCAGCAAGGAACATCTTGAGCTAGCTTTACAAATGGATAGAGAAGGTCAGGGCCATCTCAAGACTGAGGCATGTCATGTGGATGGAAAACATAATCGGGTCACAGCCATTTCCTTAGTTGTATATGATSCAAATTTGAGGGACCTGGCAAATATTGCAACAATGGAGTGTCCATCAGAGAGCAAGGACAGCATTGGAATGTTCTGGGCGTGCCTTARCAGTGCATTGAGTGAATTAACTCATGACAACAACTGCCAATTCAGACCTCACCTGTATATCTTTGGAGGGAGGGGGTTTCTGGGCCTCGCTTAAAGACCAASTTGGCCCAGATGAACTGTGTAGAGCCGTGAGCTGTGAACTTCACTGRGGATTTACAGTGAACAGAAATACCAAAAAGCTCATAGGAGACGATCTCCAAGATGAATACCGCTTTTTGTGCAGCGCGGTATTAAAATCGACCACTATCAATATGTATAACAAGGCAAAAGTCAACCTGGAAAATTTCATTGACAAGCACCAATTCCTGCGCAACTGGTAGGAATGGTGGTGTAGTGTCCTGCACTATGTCTGTCAATTACGTAATAGAAAACACGTGATCTCAGTAGAGAGCACATGTGAGAGCATTCACTAAAAGACAGCGTTCCGAGCATGAAGGTCTAGTTATCTTATTCACTCTTGATACTCTACACTGGCGACGAGGATCGGTCTAATCCAGTATGAACATCATATAAAGCAAACTTCAGACTTCAAACTTCAAACAACTTAGCCACGATGCAAAGTCTCGCGCCATTTCCACCATTTGATTACGAAATCGACAAACTCAACGCTGGACCAAGATGGGAGAAATGGATTGGTCGTTTAGAAAATCTATTCACTGGTTTGAATCTTAAAGATGAAAACAGGAAAAGGGCACTGCTTCTTCATTACGSCGGTGAAACAGTCTACGACATATATCAAGCAGAAAAAGGCGACAGCGCTAACTCGTACTCAGCAACAAAACAAATCCTCTCTCAGTACTTCGCACCGAAGAAAAACATCCAGATGGAAATTTTTAATTTCAGGAGCTGCAAGCAAAMACTCAGCCAATCACTCGACGAATACATCACGGAATTAAGGAAGCTTGCAAAACATTGTGAATTTACGGACACTGACAATGAGATACTTTCTCAAGTTATTCAACACTGCCGTTCTTCACGATTGCGAAAGAGAGCACTGCGTGAACCGGACAAGACTCTGAAAGACATCATCGAAATCGGAAGGTCTCTAGAATTATCTGATCAGCATGCTGCAGCCATCGAAGATGAATCAGTCAACGCCATGAGGGAATCTACGAAAACTCATAAAAAATCAACTTTCAAGCCAAGAACCAACGCTCGACGCGAAAAGCCAATATCGCGCAATCATCAAATAAACAACCCGACAAGCAAGCACAGTACATGTCACAACTGCGGTGGATCATTTCCTCACACTAAAGAATGTCCAGCCAAAGGAAAAATCTGCAATAATTGCAAAAAACSAAATCATTTCAAGTCCGTCTGCCAAAAACTTCGACGAAAGAATCAAGTTAGAGCCYTTGAGAACGACAACACAGCGATCGACTCAGATCCGGACAGCGATGGCAGCTTGCTATACTGCATAAAGAATCTCGAATYAATCAACTCAATCAGCTCCCTACCRATAGCTAATCTGAAAATCAACGACACTGAAGTGAAACTCCTAATCGACACGGGCTCAACAGTAAACGTAATCGACGAGGAAACGCATAAGAAAATTGGAAGTCCAAATCTACGAAAACACACGCGCCAACATATTTGCATATGGCGGCAACGAAGCGTTACGCGTGACTGGAGAATGTGACCTTCTAATCGAAACCAACAACTTCATTCAATGTCATAAATTCTACGTCGCAAAAGGAAGCTACGGATCACTTCTCGGATATTCAACTTCAAAGGAACTTAATCTTTTTAAGATTACACAWCACATCAAAGACACGCCATTCACATCGAAATATCCACATCTATTTGACGGGATCGGTAAACTCAAAGGAACAACAGTTAAACTACACATTGACCACACCGTTAAGCCGGTAGCGCAGAGACCTAGAAGAGTACCATTCCATCTCAGAAACAAAGTACAAAAGGAAATAGAAAAACTTGAGGAACAAGATATCATAGAAAAAGTCCTAGRAGAACCAACGCCATGGGTTTCACCCATTGTCATCGTGCCTAAAAAAGATCCAAACGAAGTACGAATTTGTGTCGATATGCGGGAAGCAAACAAAGCTATTCTTCGTGAACGACACCAAATGCCTACAATCGACGAGCCTACTTCAGACCTCRACGGAGCATCAGTATTTAGCAAGATTGATTTAACCTCAGGTTACCACCAACTAGAATTAAGTCCAGATTCCAGGTCGATCACAACGTTTGGTACACACATCGGATTATTTAAATACAAACGATTGAACTTTGGTATATCGTCTGCGTCAGAAATATTTCAAGAAACAATTCGTAACGTCATTCATGACATTCCCAACTCTAAAAATATCAGCGATGATAKTATCATTTATGGAAAAWCACAAGCTGAGCACGATCAAGCTTTAGACAAGGTATTTGAACGCCTACACTCAAAGGGACTAACTGTAAACAAAAAGAAGTGTTTATTCAACCAATCACAGATTGAATTCTTTGGTTTAATCTTTAGCAAAGATGGAGTTTCCCCAGATCCTAAGAAGGTCAACGATATCAAGAACGTAAGCACTCCTACCAACACCTCCGAAGTTAAAAGCTTTCTCGGGATGACGAATTACAGCGCTCGCTTCATCAAAGACTACGCAACWATCAGCGAACCACTACGTCGACTAACAAAGTCTGGAGCTGCGTTTGTCTGGACAAGTGAACAAGAAAACGCCTTTACTGCACTAAAGGAACACTTGAGAAGCGACGCTATCATGAATTATTTTGATCCATCTAATTGAAATTGAAATCATTGTTGATGCTAGTCCAGTCGGACTAGGAGCCATTTTGACACAAGACAACAAGGTAATTAACTACGCAAGCCGAGCATTGACAGATGTCGAGACGAGATACAGCCAAACTGAACGAGAGGCCTTAGCCATTGTATGGGCCTGCGAACATTTTGATATGTACACTAACGGTGCAAAACACTTCACAGTAATAACAGATCATAAACCACTTGAGAATATCTGGAAAAAGCCTACACCTCCAGTAAGAATTCAACGATGGGGACTTCGTTTACAACCTTACAAGTTCACCATAATGTATAAGCCAGGTAAAACTAACCCAAGTGACTACCTATCAAGACATCCACTGGACGTTGATGACTCAACAACTCCACTACAGCAAGCTACTGCAGAASAGTATGTCAACTTCATTGCAACTACATCTACACCTAAATCTATGACACTAGAGGAAATAGCACTGGAAACTAGTAAAGACAAGACATTACAGCAAGTAATGATCTTTGTGCGTAATTCACGCTGGYACGAGATGACGACAATTACAGACACAAACATTGACCAAAAGGAACTGAAATCCTTCTATGTTGTCSGCGATGAACTGACATGTTACAATGAAAACATTCTATTAAGGAACAATCTAGTTGTTATACCACGTACCCTTCGACAAAGAACAGTCGACATTGCTCATGAAGGAARCCAAGGAATTAACCGCACAAAAGCCTTTGTACGATGGAAAATATGGTTCCCAGGCATTAATGACGTCGTCATTATTACGTGCCCTTTTATAACTCTCTGATTTACGCGCTTTCCGGTCAGCGAAGATCCGTCGTCAACTTTGCCGCGATCAGTCCACGCGTGCCACTTGCAATAGGCTTTTATAATTAGTATGAAATAATAATAATTATAATAATAATAATAATAATAATATTTAAATTGTAAAAAACGAATAGCTTCAGCTGGTCGTAAAAGTAGGAAAAGAGTTATACTATCGTTTTCTAACCTTCAACTCTCAACTCTCTTCATCGAGTGATAGACGCAGTCCRCAAACAATAGACAATAATAGAGGCAATCAAGTTTAAATTTATTTATTGTATATCATGACAGGTTAATCTCTATCATTTACACTCTAATCACATTCTTTGTTGTACCTTATCTTAATTATTTCTAGTGCGAATCTTTGMATAATTATATTACTAATTGATTTYATGTGCTGTGTAGAGCAATATTTCATGTTGAGCTTCTAATTAAAAAAATGTTTCTCTGTTTAAAAATATAAAACATTATCAATTATTATTTGTTAACAGCATCAAACTTCTCGATGAAGCCTTGAAGTTGTAATCTCGATTCAGCATTATCTTGACTACATTCCTTTGCAATTTCATAGTATATGTGACAGGATTTTACTTTACGGCATATCCGCTTTGCTAAGAATCCAAAGCTATAGGTATCTGTCAAGCTAGAGTAAGCACACGTGCCATTTAGCAGTTCGGGTGCAACATGAGGATATTTTTCTTTAG